TTACCTACATACAAAGATGTTTGTTAAACGGGTCTGAGCAAACATGCTGGAAGAAGCAAAGGTATTCAACTGGTCATACTGAGCTAAGGTAGTTGCGTTCAGTGAACATAGGAACAAGATGACTGTCCGAGATCTAGCTTAGAATCAACATTTGAAGAAAAGTACTTTCGAAGAAACTTTCTAGAAGCGGCAACGGCGGCTGAAGTGCTTCGCCTCTCGGTATTAAGTTCCAGCATCTGATTGTTATCACAGACAGTTTGGCGAATATAGTGTAAGGAGGATCACTATTCTGATACTGTGTATTTTTGCTTATTTTGCATATAAAGCGAAAGTAGAGATCACCTGGAATGGTGAATTTTTCTGGATATCGCAAAAATTGGCAAAATAAATACGAATGCATGAACATCGAATTCGACCAAAATAATTAGTGCAAGCGATGGCGCTAACAGGGCCAAATTTGTTGAGTTGTGCTGAACAACATAGCACTTCGTTGTGTTCAGCTAAAGCACAGACCTGTCGAGATTCGTCGGTTAGCTAAATTTTAGCTTCGATATCTCTCACAGAGGCTTGTACGGACGAATCCTGAAAGGTTCACTAACAGAAAAACACCGATTAATGCATTGCTGATCTGCAGGTTTCTTTAGGGTTCTGCAAACTGACGGACGATCATAAATGCTGTCAATATTTAGCCACAGAAAGCATGATACACTCTTTTAATGTCACTGTCGACGGCGTTGTACTTCTTTTTGATATGCAAGCGTCTGCTATGATCCCTGACTGCTTTTCACTCACGTTGGTCAAATCTTCATTTGCAAAATACTTTAAGCCTGCGTAGTGAATGGTTTAGATCTAGATGAATACTTAACCTTCTTAACTAATTATTCATACTTGCTAATCTTAACATATTTAAGGTGAAGCATGTCGTCTGCTGAGAGGTGTCGACGTTGGCCGGTGATGGCAAGCTGAACGACATTGCCCGTACAACAAGCCGATAAAAGTAAACGTGGCATATCGTATATAAAGAGCACAAATTGAGGTTATTCTGTTGTTCAGACTCTGGTAACTAAGAATGACAATAACATCATCAAATATAGGAATTTTTATTATTTATTTACTATTAAATATTTTTGGTTGATTATACACAACCGCTGCACAGATAGGCTTGACACTGCCATCCATATTCGACCTGTGCAAAATGTAGGCATACTCTAATCTTCTTTCGGAGAGGGAATGATAGTATTCAGATCAGCTCGTTGATGATGATGATGACGAAGCTTGACAGAATGTAACGATCGAAGTAAGATTATAGTAATAGAAATATTTTATGATGATGTGTCAAATAAGAAGATTCCTACCTCGCTTCACGAGAAAGCGTATTCGATCACCTTCCAGTTTGTGTTGGCATATAGATCTGTACGTACGTGTGCACACATCGAGAATGTAGAAATGTACACATTAAGCATGCGTGTGGACCTGATAATAGGAGGAGTAATTTAAGTACTCTGCTGGAAGAAAATCAAATCAAAAATCGCGAGTATGTCTTGAGGGTTTCTCATGTGGAAGCCACAATAGGGCAGAGGTAGGTCAGCATGCAACATGGAGGAATGAGGAAGAGACAGATTTTTCAGCGAGTTATATTTTTTCTGAGATGTAGTAACCGGTGACTTATGGCGAAAATAGTATTGAAACGCTGCAGACGCAGCGAATATGACAAACCAAAGACATTCTGCGTATGGAAACCGCCCAAGACGAAGAACTCAATAACCACTCACGCGAGCGCCAAATGACAAAATTTCCTTAAAAACGGTACAAGAGCAGAGAAACAAAGTTGCAGTGATTTTGGTCTAGATGAGACGATGTCGATTGCTAATGCTGTGGCACTTTTCGGAAGTTGTCTGACATTCAACCATACAGACTGCGGAGTATTTAATGCCACCAGTCCAAGTTTGTAAAGTTAACTGCAAATGCTTAAACACATTCATAAGACTGTTAAGACTTTGGGCAATGTATTCGTTGCTTTGGTTTCGTGCGATTCTCCAGAAGCACAAGTAGTTCCTCGATTTTCTCATCACTTTAATGTTCGCTACTCTGGTCGAGTACTCCACTGCGGGGCATCGTTTGCTGTTTGAAAGATCCTTTACTTTTTATCGCTGGTTCGTAGGGTATTCACTATTGCTTATTTCGGGTTGAACACATTTGTTGAACGACCCCGTTTGATGAAAATTCTTTGCATCGTTTTAAAATTTTTACGAAAACAAATTTCAGGCTTTAATTGGAAAGCAACTGGAGAAGAAGAGCAAAAACGTTGGTTGCTGAACGCAGAGCAGCTCCGGAATGAGGTAAACTGAAGAACTAAGATATGGAATAAAGCCGTTTTCAGTTATTTATGTCCTTCCAAACAAATGAATGGCAGCGGAAGAGTCTTAATGCGTGCAGAATGATGATATAGGCAGAAATTAAAGACTATTGTGTGTAATGCGTATTGAGTCATTTCTTACTGTTTATATGAAAAATAAGTTGATGTTTCAATAGTCCATAATTTCAGTTCTAACCTCCTCCGCCGTCTAGGAAGTAAATAACTTGGTATCGCTCCCACAGCGCTGCGTTAAGGAATAAATGATAAATCCAGACGGTGCTCATTATTTTATCCAGTATGAAGCATTATTTGTGAACGCAGTGACAACGCGATAGATTGCATCACCTTTTTAGCTAAACGAGTTGTGTACCGAATTAACAGAGTGACGTTGCTTGAATCAAAGTCGTTTATGCAAATAGTACATGTGTAACAATCTGTCAGATGCTTTTGTTCATGACTGTAAAACGTGAGCAGTATGGGACAATAAGGAAAAGGTATAGATATAGGTGACAGCGTAAACCGCAACGAACTTAATCGCGTTTCAGCGGCAAACTCCCAGGTGGAAAAGAAGCCCATGCTTGCAGTCATACAGTGACTATTCGAAAAGTTTTTCGCTTTAACTTGTACCGGAGGCAAGC